GGAATGCTGGGCAATTTATTCCATTTTTGTTTAAAATGCCCAAAAGTCCTTTATTTTTGCCTCTCATTACCTTTGCTCCATCCGAACATATTGAGGCTAATTTATTTTTGTCAGCAAATGCAAAAACATTAACATCTAATGCATCATACAGAACTTGTCCTGTTACATGACCATGAAGTGAAACCACTTCAAACATTTCTTCGAAGCACTCTAAATTTGCATTAACTGTTTTAATACAAATAATTAACTGGCAAATATTATTGATATCCGTACTCTCATCTAGAGAAATCGAAAAATATTTGCAATTAATTAATCTTTCTTTTGCTGACATTTTAATAAATTTGCTTATATCTTCCGTTCTTCTTGTTATAGTACGACGAGATAATGGTATATCCTGGCAGAGTTTCATAGTTTCATGGCATTTTTCTCCAAAACAACTCAAAATATCTGTAGTTAAATTTAAGAAAAAAATGCCATCCTCAAATGGGCGACATTGTTTTGCTAACGATAAAGCAACTACATAAGATGCCTTTTTATGAGGCAATGATTTTTTTTGGCTATTTAAAGGAAGATTGTTGCAATTATTTGCTGTTGTTTCATTAATTATAAATTTTAAGAACAACTCTGCTTTTAATTGCAACAACTTTACTTTTCTGTCATGTCCCCTAAGGTCATTTAAGGGTCCATGGCAAGTTTCATAATGCCTTTTCAAAAAAATAAAGCTTTTCTACATATAATTTTATAACATACGACGCATTGTTTTCTATATGTTTTCTATAAAAAAGAAATCATTTTCCCAATTTATATCAAACATTTTGCTAGGTGTAATAAAAGAGAAAAAATCATAAGCATAAAAAAATCCGCAACGTGATCTTGCTTCTACAAAAGCTGAACAGCAACTGATTTGATTTTGATCTCTGAGATCGTAACAAAGCAACAAACAAGTGGTCATTTTAGTAAAACACAGACACACTAATACACACAAGCTTATAGTGTAGGTGTGTCAACAAAGCGTCAGCAGAATTTCTTGGCCTATGCACGCGTGCATTAGAATTTCAGTATATATATATAGTATATATATATATATATATATATATATATATATATATATATATATATATATATATATATATATATATATATATATATATATTTATTTATATATATAAAATATATATATATATATAAATCAATGTGTGTTTGTATGTTTGTTTGTTTGGACTTTATAGACAGCTAAACGGCTGAACCGATTTTTCTGAAATTTTCCGAGTCTCTTCCTGTATGTCTCAAAGGAACTATAGGCTACTTTTTACTACAATATTTTAAGTGGGCGACGTTCGACGTGCCACGAACACATACTAAATAAGTATTAAAAGTCGCTTATCTCAGAAACTGTAAGAGCTAGAGTCCTCAAACTTTCACATCCATATGAAGTGGGCAGCCTAGCTATAGTGGGCGTGGTACCTCCCATATAAAGAAAATCTTAATTTTGTATATCTGAGAAAATATAACAACTAGAGTCCTCATTTTTTTTCGGAGAAACTTTAGTATGAATATTTATGAGAAAAATGTATAATAACAAGGATCTATATGTATAATAACAAGTAAGCGTGCTATATTCGGCTATGTCGAATCTTAAATACCCTCCACCAGCAAGCTACCAACATTTATGCATATGTCGAACTAATTTTGATTAGGTACAGAAAAATTTATATTAATAGGCCAGTTCGAAAACATTTTAATAGAATGATTTATCTATACAAAGAACATACTCATGTCGAATTTTATCCGGATATAATCATTTAATAAGGAATTACGTGGTAATAAGTGATTTGCAGAGTAAACCTTATATAGGGGCTAAGACAACTTATTGTCCGATCCGGAAAAATATTCCGTAGAATGATTTATATACACAAAATACACATTTATGTAGAATTTTATCCCGATAACTTTGATTGTCTATGTTTGTGACCAATTACGGACCGATAATGAATATCATATAATGATTTATATGAAAAAAAAAATTATGTCGAATTTTAAGTCATTTTCGGAAGTGGACTTTATATATCAGTGGACTTTATATATCATAATATTATCAAAATATCTTTATTTGATCATGAAATACAGTGAACTCTCGATAATGTGAACTAATTAATGTAGTTCATATTTTCGAATTTGTTCACATTTTCGATTGTGATTTTTTTATATATATTACTAAGTTATTCTTTCTAAAAATCATTTCTGCAAGGAATGAAAATGCAAAGATTACTAAAAAAATTTTTGTAATTTATTTGGAACATAAAAAGTTTTTAAAAATCCATTTTATAAAGAGTACATAAGTAGTATGTACATAAAAAATAAACAAAATATTACGACAAAAAATAAATAAAATTTACAATGAAAAAAGATAAGTACATACATATATAATTAAATATGGAAATAATCGGTTATTATTTTCTGTTTTTTCTTTTGTTCGACGAGCTTATTTACCGCCAACACCCTGATTTTTTTCAATACTTTAATGTCAGAGTGATCGACCGTTTGAAATTCAGCCCATTGGACAGCTTTGTTAAAAAATTCGACAGCTTCTTTGGCTTTAATGTTGTTTTCAGGCGCTTCAATAAAAAAGTCGTCATCATCGTCGGACTCTTCAATTAAATCATTTTCCTCAAATGGCGTGACGTCCTCACAAGGATTATTGATTCAATCTCTAATGTTTACAGCAGTAAATACTTCCTGAGGGCAGAATGTCTGTAGAAGATCTGCAGCAGTATTTTCTAAAGATCAAAACTCTGATTGCAACTTTTCTTTTAAAACGCTCAAAGGAACATTAAATTCAGGATCATCTTCATCATTTACCATATTCAAAATATTTTTCCAACAGTTAGATAAAGTTTCTTTACCAACTCGGTTCCAGGATGCCTCTAGAATAGAAACTCCTTCTTTAAGTGTGATTTTTTTCATCGATTCAAGCAAATCCACCTCTTTTGCAATAATTGTTGCCAGAAAACTGTTCCTATAATGAAGTTTGGTGATTCTAATTGCATTTTGATCCATAGCTTCTATGGAACCATCCTCGGATTTAACGTCGGATTCTGGTGGATGGGATGGGGCATTATCTATTAAGAGTAAAGCTTTTACTAGTAATCGTTTCTTCTTTAAAAAATTTGTCACCTTAATGAAAAATAATCCCAATTGAACTATTTTTACATGTTTACTTACCTCTGGCACAAAACAGTTGTGAAACCATTCTTAGGTTTACGAACTGAGATTGCGCAGAAAGTTTTTCATCGATTATCTGAAGGAGCCGAATTTCGTATCTCTTTTTAAATTTTTGTAGCCACCCATCGCTAGCATTGAAGTCATTTCCGTATTCACTTATGTTTCTGTGAATTTGTTTGGCTTTCTCTTTCAACATCAACCGACTTACAGGGAGGTTTTTATTCCGCATACAAATAAACCACTTATAGAGCGATTTTTCCATTTTTGGAAGCTCTGAAGATCGTAATGTTTTGCGTTTTCCGGGTCCATACGTATTGTTCACACATTTTAAAATATTGTCTTTTTTATTTTTTATTGAACATATCGTTGATTTTGCAACTTTACACTTTTTACTTAACACTGTAACACTCGATCCTTTTTTTAAATATTCCAAAATTTCGCATTTTTCATATAAGGATAAAAACTTTCGACTGTTTTTAGACATCACTAATTTTAAAAATAAATTCACGAACCTACCGCAGCAAGTTACATAAAGCTACTAGCATTAAATACCTTTAAAATAATGGCATACTATGGTATTTATTAATTCGGGGATTCCCAACATGCTTCTACAAATTAAAAAATCCCAAAAAATTAAAAAAAAATCACTATTTAGAGCCATTAAATTTTGTTCACTATTTAGAGCGCCCATATAAAAAACTGAGTGTTCACATTAGTGGATAGTTCATTATATTGGATGTTCACATTACCTCGAGTTCACTGTATTAAAAAAATATATGTACTTAAGTATAAGAGTTCTGTCAAAATTTTTATATTTTTTTACTTTTATTTTATCGATTAGTAACTCAAACGTAGTATAGTGGTGTAGGGTAAAAAATTAAGTTCCGTGGCATTAAGAAAAAACATGATAGAAAAACCTATATGGGTTTTTGGAAGGAAAAGTTTAATATTTCGAGTTTTAGTTTTTTTTATATAAAAAATTTTATTTGTCTTCCTCAAAACACTTTCAAACGTTGAAATAATCTTAAATCTCGGTGAATAGTGTCATGATTGCTTTTTTATGGCAAAACTAGGTATATTTTGAAAAGTTGAAATGTGACACGATGTTTTTTTTTTTTTTTTCCGGCTACTCGTCGTAATGTCGTGAATTCTTATCACTATCAAAATATACACAACCACAAAAAATAAAATTCTTCGTGTCAAAAAATAAAAGATAATAAAAAATTATGAATTACTATACCTGCGATCTTTTAATTTCATTACGTCCTAATGTCCCTATGTCTAATGACCTGAGCCTCCCACTAATTAAAAATTTACTCTAACATGATACTTGATTCAAGATCAGAAAGAAAACATATTTGTGTTCAAAGCAATTGTAAACAAAGTATTTTTATTTTTTTATATATATTTTCTCTTTTTACTTAATTATATATTTATTTTGTTTCTGATTTAAAAACTAAAAAAATAACAATAAAATAATATTTACTTCTTATCAAAAAAAAAAAATAATAATAAAATAAAACATTATAAATAGAAAAGTATAACTCAAAACAGAGATAAAATAAAAGTAAAAAAATATAAAAATTTTGACAGAACTCTTATACTTAAGTACATACATATATTTTTTTTTTAATACAGTGAACTCGAGGTAATGTGAACATCCAATATAATGAACTATCCACTAATGTGAACACTCAGTTTTTTATATGGGCGCTCTAAATAGTGAACAAAATTTAATGGCTCTAAATAGTGATTTTTTTTTAATTTTTTGGGATTTTTTAATTTGTAGAAGCATTTATTTTTAATGTTGGGAATCCCCGAATTAATAAATACCATAGTATGCCATTATTTTAAAGGTATTTAATGCTAGTAGCTTTATGTAACTTGCTGCGGTAGGTTCGTGAATTTATTTTTAAAATTAGTGATGTCTAAAAACAGTCGAAAGTTTTTATCCTTATATGAAAAATGCGAAATTTTGGAATATTTAAAAAAAAGGATCGAGTGTTACAGTGTTAAGTAAAAAGTGTAAAGTTGCAAAATCAACGATATGTTCAATAAAAAAATAAAAAAGACAATATTTTAAAATGTGTGAACAATACGTATGGACCCGGAAAACGCAAAACATTACGATCTTCAGAGCTTCCAAAAATGGAAAAATCGCTCTATAAGTGGTTTATTTGTATGCGGAATAAAAACCTCCCTGTAAGTCGGTTGATGTTGAAAGAGAAAGCCAAACAAATTCACAAAAACATAAGTGAATACGGAAATGACTTCAATGCTAGCGATGGGTGGCTACAAAAATTTAAAAAGAGATACGAAATTCGGCTCCTTCAGATAATCGATGAAAAACTTTCTGCGCAATCTCAGTTCGTAAACCTAAGAATGGTTTCACAACTGTTTTGTGCCAGAGGTAAGTAAACATGTAAAAATAGTTCAATTGGGATTATTTTTCATTAAGGTGACAAATTTTTTAAAGAAGAAACGATTACTAGTAAAAGCTTTACTCTTAATAGATAATGCCCCATCCACCAGAATCCGACGTTAAATCCGAGGATGGTTCCATAGAAGCTATGTTCATGCCTCCAAATGTAACGGCTCTGATCCAGCCAATGGATCAAAATGCAATTAGAATCACCAAACTTCATTATAGGAACAGTTTTCTGGCAACAATTATTGCAAAAGAGGTGGATTTGCTTGAATCGATGAAAAAAATCACACTTAAAGAAGGAGTTTCTATTCTAGAGGCATCCTGGAACCGAGTTGGTAAAGAAACTTTATCTAACTGTTGGAAAAATATTTTGAATATGGTAAATGATGAAGATGATCCTGAATTTAATGTTCCTTTGAGTGTTTTAAAAGAAAAGTTGCAATCAGAGTTTTGATCTTTAGAAAATACTGCTGCAGATCTTCTACAGACATTCTGCCCTCAGGAAGTATTTACTGCTGTAAACATTAGAGATTGAATCAATAATCCTTGTGAGGACGTCACGCCATTTGAGGAAAATGATTTAATTGAAGAGTCCGACGATGATGACGACTTTTTTATTGAAGCGCCTGAAAACAACATTAAAGCCAAAGAAGCTGTCGAATTTTTTAACAAAGCTGTCCAATGGGCTGAATTTCAAACGGTCGATCACTCTGACATTAAAGTATTGAAAAAAATCAGGGTGTTGGCGGTAAATAAGCTCGTCGAACAAAAGAAAAAACAGAAAATAATAACCGATTATTTCCATATTTAATTATATATGTATGTACTTATCTTTTTTCATTGTAAATTTTATTTATTTTTTGTCGTAATATTTTGTTTATTTTTTATGTACATACTACTTATGTACTCTTTATAAAATGGATTTTTAAAAACTTTTTATGTTCCAAATAAATTACAAAAATTTTTTTAGTAATCTTTGCATTTTCATTCCTTGCAGAAATGATTTTTAGAAAGAATAACTTAGTAATATATATAAAAAAATCACAATCGAAAATGTGAACAAATTCGAAAATATGAACTACATTAATTAGTTCACATTATCGAGAGTTCACTGTATTTCATGATCAAATAAAGATATTTTGATAATAATATGATATATAAAGTCCACTGATATATAAAGTCCACTTCCGAAAATGACTTAAAATTCGACATAATTTTTTTTTTTTCATATAAATCATTATATGATATTCATTATCGGTCCGTAATTGGTCACAAACATAGACAATCAAAGTTATCGGGATAAAATTCTACATAAATGTGTATTTTGTGTATATAAATCATTCTACGGAATATTTTTCCGGATCGGACAATAAGTTGTCTTAGCCCCTATATAAGGTTTACTCTGCAAATCACTTATTACCACGTAATTCCTTATTAAATGATTATATCCGGATAAAATTCGACATGAGTATGTTCTTTGTATAGATAAATCATTCTATTAAAATGTTTTCGAACTGGCCTATTAATATAAATTTTTCTGTACCTAATCAAAATTAGTTCGACATATGCATAAATGTTGGTAGCTTGCTGGTGGAGGGTATTTAAGATTCGACATAGCCGAATATAGCACGCTTACTTGTTATTATACATATAGATCCATATAGGAGGTACCAAAACCCCCTTATGAAAGTCCACCCATTTTTCTCATAAATATTCATACTAAAGTTTCTCCGAAAAAAAAATGAGGACTCTAGTTGTTATATTTTCTCAGATATACAAATTTAAGATTTTCTTTATATGGGAGGTACCACGCCCACTATAGCTAGGCTGCCCATATAGGTTTTTCTATCATGTTTTTTCTTAATGCCACGGAACTTAATTTTTTACCCTACACCACTATACTACGTTTGAGTTACTAATCGGCTAAGAATAATTTTCTGAATCGATTAAGCCATGTAAGTCTGACCGTCTGGTACAGGTTAAAATGTTAATAACAATTTGATGATGTTTGGCACGTATGCTTTTTTGGTCCAATGACAAAACCTTTTAAAAATATTTAAAGTCTGTCTTTTCTTTTACCTAGCCCCCATACATATGCAAATGTACAAAGCCTTTCTCAGAAGGTACAATTCAACATAAATGCTTTATAACGAAAAATAAATCACATTTTATACTCATATCTGGGGTAGTTGGTCAACCACGGCAGAATATACTTTCTTACTTGTTATAAATTACAATGAATTACACTTACAAATTAATATGAAAAGACTTAAAAATTTTAAGCATTTTTTTTGGCATTTTAAAATTAATTTAGCATTTTTTCTAGCATTATTTTGGATGGGATTTAGTCGCAATATTTTTTGAGTCATGGTCACACTGCAAACCAATATAAAAAAAATTATAACGATATAACGCTTTAACGCCGATTGTGAATTGGACAATTAAAACAGCACTCCGAGTGTTTTATTTGATATTGTGAATAAATAACGGGAGACTTTTTCATCTGTGACACAAATGATTTATTTTTTAAATTGTTTTATTTGATGTAATTTATACGTGTTGCTAAGAAACTCACACTGTTATGGAATATAAAAAATACGAAACATAATTATATTAAGGCTGATGCATACTCTGAGGGGAATTTGAACTGATGAGAATCTAATGACATCACTGTAGGTAAAACTCCGGCATTCGGGATTATATTCCATGAAAGGTAGAGTGTTACATTTTTGTTGTTCCTTAAAATAAAAAAAATATATTATTGATGGATATTTAAAGTAAATAGAAGATGAATAAAAATTAATAAATAAACTTCTTTTAAATATTTTTAAGAAATTAAAAAAATATATATAAAACATACATGGGAGTAGTTAATTATATCGACTAATTAATTGACGATTTCATTAGCATTAAATTGAAAAAAATTATAATTATTTTTTTTTTTTCATTAGCATTATTTTGTCTAATGGTAATGGTTTTTAATGAAACGATTTCATTAGTAATTATATAAGAATAAATTTTCATTACCATTATTCAATATATTTTAAAAATTTTCGAACATTAGTTCGAATTTCGAAATTAATTTCGAATATCCGAACATTATAATGTATTGTCATTGGGTGAAATTATGTATGCCAAATTTCAGCACATTCGGACTAGAAGAACTAGTTTTAACAGCTTTAAAAGTTTTTCGAACACGAGTTCGAATTTTCGAAATTTTTTTTTAGGTTTTATGACACAGAGATTAATTTAAAAACATAAAAAAATTTTCGAAAATAACTTCGAATTTTCGAACTTAATTTCGAATATTCGAACATATTATTGTATTGTCATCAGATGTACTTATGCCTGCAATTTGCCAATTTGGGCTACGGGAACTGGTTTTAAAAGCTTTCAAACCTCGAATCTTCGAAAAAATTTCCTTAATATATTTTTCGACAATTATAAATACTAATTAAATTCGTTTTTGAAAATTCATTATCAAATTCATTACCATTATCAAAAAAAGTTATAATGAAAAAAATATAATTTTCATTAAATGGTACTTAAAATATTTTTCATTACAATTTTTTCTATAAATGGTAATGAAATTTTAATGTTTAATGAAAAATTCCCATGTATGATATAAAATAAATATTTCAGTGAAATCTCAATTGTAAAACTGCAAATGTGATTTAACTAAAAAAAATATTTTATATAAAGTTTATTCGAATTTTCTGGAATTGTTTTCCGATAACTTTATAATAATTGCTATTTTTCACATTTGTTTTGGCGGTAGAAGTTCTTTTGCATTTTTCGTTATACATAATTTGTATCATGTAATTATAATTATGGTTGTAAACTAAGTTCTGGCAAAAAGAAAGTATTTTTAATTACTTAATTTTGTTTTCTTTTACAATTTCTGCTAAAAACTTGCAAAAATGAGAAAAAAAACAACATAAATAATACCAAAACACGAAATAAAATGTGGTCACTTGAATCTGCCCAGCAAAACCTTTCATTACCTAGTAAGCTAGAAAGTAATATTTGAAACTAATTACTCTTGGGGTGAATAACTAATTATTTTTGTTCGACGAGGTTCAAATAATATGTACTTACTACCTTTATCAAATTAATAAATGGTTACTAATTTGATTACAAAAACTTTGCGAATAGTTTCTATACTCTGTTACAAATTGCAAAAAAAAAATTCCTCAGTCAGGATTTGAACCCAGGCATTTAGTTGTTTTCTATGTTTCTCACTCCAGCCGCTTACTCGATGCTCCATTAACATGTTGCTTTTTGTAATTTTGAAAATGGCTTTTTATGTCTCTTGCATGTGTGCGGATTTAAACAATTACTTTAATAATTAAATTTCATTTATTAATTCTTAGATTCAATAGTACTTCAATACAAAAACGAGTTTCTTATAATAACGCGAAGTTTAAAGCTTACACTATGACCAGCGTTGCCACTCACAATTTATTTTTCTTACCAAAGTTCCGACAAAAAACTACCAAAACGTTCCAAAAACTACCAAATTTTTCCTTAGGGACAATTGCTTCTGTTTAGAGTTTCATTATTTTTAAAACTAATATGTAATATCAAACAATGAATTGTTCCAAAGAGTCAATGGTTTACTTTTACGTAATTAGACAAAATTTCCAAATACTTTTATGAAATACATAATTGCTGTTTTCGACAAAATTTGTACTAATATCATTCCCGAGAAAATAGTAATAGTATTATATTCGGTTATGACGAATCTTATATGTATATCCACAATCAGCATCTATCGTATAAATTGAGGACTTTATGGATAAATCCTTTTATTATACTACGGTTAACTAATTTGCTATTTATTGATAATAAAATTATTTTCCTGAAAAGGGGCTATATGGCTGAAATAGGATCAATTGTGGACCAATCGACATAGATTTCGATTCTTAAAAAACTGTTTCAACAGACAGACGGGCGGACATGGCTATATCGTCTTAGAATCTAATAAGAACCTAGAAAAAATATATAATATTTTTATACCCATCAAAAAAGATTGGGGTATATTAATTTTGTGATTCCGTTTGTAAAGTAGTAGACCCACCAAATTATATATTCATTCATGTATCTGGTTTCTTAGAAAAAAAAAAGAATTAGTGTGGCCTACAGTAGGTTAGTGGTTTATGTTATAGCCAGACCTGACGTCGTGCGTTTGATTCCCACCTGAGGAATTGGTTAGGAAGTTCACAACGGGACCGATGCAGGCCTAGGAGTATTCCTTCGGACTTTATGGAACATCCTCATTTCAAACTAACTAACTTACTAACATTCATGAATCAGAAATGTTGAAATACATAGAAACTTAATATTTTCTTAGAACAAACAATATAAACTTAACAAGGATAAACTTAAGATTGACGTATTTATTAAAATTCTTATTACTTTGCAATAACAAGATCAGAAATGTTTATAAATTCATATGCATGAGATCAAAATTATCTCTTCCTACCAAATTTGGACCAAAAATTAAACCTACCAACCAAACTACCAAAAGTCATTTCAGAGATTTGAAACTACCAATTTTGGTCCAATTGGACCAAAGTGGCAACGCTGACTATGACAATAATATTTAAATGGTGCCAATGTGTTTTTTTAGTTTGCGATTTTCTTCCTGCGCATCACTGTTGTTTATGGGGAATATATTAATCGTTGTTTACGGATCCTGGTTGATCTTCTAAGTGTTTGAGGAGTAGTTGATGTTGTGGGTCTACTGGGCGCATCTGGTAGTGACGGGCGTATTTGAACATGGGATTCTGTAGGCGTTATACTAATATTCGATGGCTTTGGTAGGGTCTGACGTTCTGATCGTGATGTTCTATGAGGATTAGGCGGTGATGAACTTTGAACATTACAGGAATGTTTGTTCGAGAAGAGTGTTTGGGTTGAACGAGAAATTGGATTTTAAGGGCCAATCTTTAGGTGAAAGATTAGCGATTAAATTAAAATTAATCCTCGAAAGTTGTTTTTGAGTACATACTCAATTAGTTAATTTTGTTAAAGCGCCCAATGGAGGTGGTTTAAACTTGAGCAAATTTTCATAAATTTGTTTGCTACTAAAAAATGCTAATGAAATGTCAAATAATTAAAAAAATAATTTTTGGGTTTGTGAAAATTAAAGAGTTTGATAAAGAAAATACTATATTAAAATAATTGTAAAAAAAAAATAGTAATGTGTGTTCGTGTTATAAAAATTGTGTCCAAATCGTTTTTTTTTTTTTTTTTTTTTTGTGCGAATTTTTGACTTGAATATTGAATACATAGATGACATAGATAGCCAACTCAAGCTTTACCACGAATAAAAGAGCTTTCTCTCTTCACACTTACATGTTCTGTGTGAATTCAACACAAAGCTACAACAACAAATATTCAATATTTTAATTCCAAAATTCGCACAAAAAAACGATTCGGACACAAATTTTATAACACATTTTTTATTTTTTTACAATTATTTTAATATAATATCTTCATCAAAATCTTTTTAATTTTCACAAACCAAAAAATTACATTTTTTAATTATTTGACATTTCATTAGCATTTTTTAGTAGCAAACAAATTTATGAAAATCAAAAAAATAAAAAAATTTACATTTTAGCAAATTTAAAATGCATGAAAAATATTATCATACTTTTATAAATGCAATCTAAAATTTAAAATGTAATAATATAAGAAATTTAATGCTATAAAAACATTGTACTATTATTTCGACCGATTTTATGCAACTATGTGGGCATTTTATGTGTGGTAAAAAGCTTTTATACACTAACACTTTTAAAGAAAATCTTACTAATACATATTTAGAGTTAGGTTTTTTTGACAGCTGAGTTAGATTTTTTCCGGGAGAGTTGGCCTTCTACGGTAATATTCTATGATTGAATATTTGTTGTTGTAGTTTGGTGTTGAATTTACACAGAACAGGTAAGTGTGAAGAGAGAACGCTTTTTTCGTGGTAAAGCTTGAGTTGACTATCTATATGTATTATCTATGTAGGAAACCATAGAATATTACCGTAGAAGGCCAACTCTCCCAGAAAAACCCTAACTCAGCTGTCAAAAAAAACCTAACTCTAAATATGTATTAGTAGGATTTTCTTTAGAAGTGTTAGTGTATAAACTTTTTATACACTAACATAGTTGATAGATTTTGATTGATACATTTTAAATTGTAGATTGCATTTATAAAAGCATGATAATATTTTTCATGCATTCTATATTTGTTAAAATGTAAAATTCTTTAATTTCTTGGATTATCATAAATTTGTTTACTACTAAGAAATGCTACTCTGCACCTTCAATTTGAAATTAGAAAAACAAAAAATTAAATGTCAAACAATTGAAAAAATAATTTTTTGGTTTGTGAAAATTAAAAAGATTTCGATAATGAAAATATATTATAACAATTGTAAAAAAATAAATAATGTGTGTTTGTGTTATAAAAATTGTGTCCGAATCGTTTTTTGTGCAAGTTTTGGACCTGAAATATTGAATATTTGTTGTTGTAGCTTTGTGTTGAATTCACACAGAACATGTAAGTGTGAAGAGAGAAAGCTCTTTTTTTCGTGGTAAAGCTTGAGTTGGCAATCTATGTGTATTATCTATGTAGGAAACATAGATGATATAGATAGCCAACTCAAACTTTACCACGAATAAAAGAGCTTTGTCTCTTCACACTTACATGTTCTGTGTGAATTCAACACAAAGCTACA